TTGTTTATTTGATATCAAAACTATTGCTAGTATAGTAGATAATAAATAATAATGATAGTAGTATTTTAGTTATATAAGTATAGAACCATAATGGTGAGTTATCAATGAATTCTGTTGATCGTATGGAGGATGTATCACGTGATTTGTATGTGAAGAAACTCTTGTATGTGAATGAATCACTTTGCGACAGAAAACCGCACACAGGCGGTATTATGCAACGGCGAGGATCACATGGGAAAAAGATGTAAACAAGAACCTATTAATTGTCCGTGTCGAATTCTCGGATACCGCAGATGATGGCAATAAAGAGCGTTATCTCGGTTGGATGATGATGATGCAAAAATAAAAAGAGGAGAGCAGACATGTACACATACAGCAGTCCTGTGTCCCGACAGAACGGACGTCGACGATGCTCCGAGCAATTATTGGATAAGATTCCTCAATTGCCCGTCAATTGGTCCATCGGGAGAGGAAGGGTTACGCAACGTCGCCAATTAATGGTCGCATTTTGGACGCGGAATCCGCATGCCGCCGGATTCATGGATCGCGTTAATCGTCCTTAATCATGTGCGGCATTTCCACTAATTAAACTTTCAACGGGAATACACGAGACGTGCATTCGCTCCAACGTAATAAACAACAAATTGCGTATATTTGCGATGCGGAATTGATTTCGATTACTGTGTGTGTATATACAAAGTAATTCCTGCTTACCAGATGAATCCGTAACTATGGGAACAATCTGAATGTGTTGATGCCTATCATTAGGTAGTAGTAGTCTCTTAATCCATGCTTTCGATTAGATGTGTTTGTATTGCGGATCGGACCGTGGGGTTTGCGTAGTTTGTTTAAGAGAATGATGATGAGAAGAGGAGACCTGAACCTGAATGTTTACGTTCGCAGCAAGAGACGGGACGGTGAAAAATGAAGATTTACCGTCGGCTCTGCCGTAGTTCCATTTCGGTAAACTTTGATATTTTGGCGTATTTATAAACATCACATTACGGCCGACGCGTAACTGTCTGGCCCCAAGGCCTTTGTTTGAGTCTATTTCGAAAATACGAAGTAAAGAAGGCAGAGGCAAGGTGAGTCTGGCAACCAGCAGCAAAGTCAACGCATTCAGAACGTTCTCATCTAGTCGTTCCAAAACGATCATCCTTAATATACACCTTCCACATTTACTTAATGAATTCCACCATTCAGTAAACACCAACAAACAAAGAAACTATAAAGTAACTACAGTTTATTACACCAATTATTCATTCAATCTTCTCATCAAAACACCAAAGTATAATAGATGTAATTTAATTTTATCAACAATTACTCATAAACAACTTCTAGTAATTTATTGAAAACTTAGTACTGACAAATATTTTCACAAAGAAAAAATATAATCAACTACCAATGATAAAAGCTTAATAAAATAAATAATATGATAATATTTTATCAATAAAAGAAATTCAAGGAAATAAAGATTATTCCTTCAATTAAAACAAATTATAAAACTTTTTTTAAACAATGAATATTATATAATTTTATCTACGATTATTCATTATGTAAACACCAAAGGAAACGTCAAAGTAAAATATAAAATTAGTGATTACTCTAATAATGATAAAAGCTTAGTGAAACAATAATTTAATTTTATCAATGATTATTCGTTCGGTATTCCCCACAAAATATTCAAATAAGATAAATAAATGGTTACAATTCACGCATTCCTTTTAATAAGAAGAAACAAAGAGGAAATTAAAAATATATAATTATACTGAAACTATTAAAATGTATATAAAAGGAATTAATGGACATTAAATATAAATAGAAAAGATTTCAATTCATAAAAGGAGAAAAGATTCCAATACTCAAATTATGAAACTGAATTAATGAAATTGTCCTCACAATATATTATTAATTTCTATAGGGAAATGGAAAAAGTTCGAAAATTATCAATTAAAATAATCATATTTGCATATACAGTCGAGTCCGCTTAGTTTGGACACCCGCTTATATGGGACAAATTCTAAAGAACGGAAACAAAACCGAACAAATAACAAATGGAACTTCGCATAATTGGGACAGCCGGGACAAATATACAAGTAATGATGTATCCCGATTAAGTGGAATCGGTGGTATTTTAAAAATTTTAACAAAAGTTGTGATTTATGGAATCAAATATATGAGCATTTTAGAAAAAAAATGTAGTTAATAAACTTACATTAAATATGAAAGGAAAACTTGTTACATAGTCGAACAAGAACAATATGTAACAAATAATATTTGGACGTGGTTTCATATTTCAAGTGTCATAGTATTTTCGAAAGAGGATAAAAACAGCTAGTCAATTAGTATACGAAAGTAGCTTTACGGCTGGAACAACTTTGAAACTGTGTTTGTAATAAAGAGAGAGAGAGAGATGAAAAAAGGACGAAACAACGACACATCACAAATGCTCGTTTGCGCCGAACAACCTCTTGAAACTGATCTTCACGTTATGCGAGGCGATGATTCAATCATGAACCTACCATTAACAAAACACCAAAGATGTTACTTCTCCTTGTATTTATACTTGTCAAATGTATCTCCTGATAGACTGCATACCGCCTGCCGTATATCTGCGTGGGTGCGGACTATTATATAACTCTTGTATATAGCTTATCTTAGCTCTATGTTTATGTATACATATAAATGTAAATCTATATTTACGCTATTTATTTATTACATTTATATAATCAAATATGTTTATTTTCTAGCAATTTCAAAATATATAAATTGAAAAAAATATTTCTTAAAAAAAAACATTTTTTTTTTAAATTTATAATGAAATATTTTTGTTTTCTAATATCTTCAGAAAATATTTAATTTTACAAACAATTCTTAAACTTTGATTTCTAGTAATGTTTTTATTCGTGATTAAAGAAAATTGAGTTTTAACACTTTACAGTATTATGAATTCAATAGCATTAGTTAATTGTGTATAAGAATATAAATTTTGGACAAATAACTGTAAATTTAGTACTAAAAAATATTTTCATTGTGAGAAATTATCTAAATTTGGAAAATATTTTAAATGGGTTACAATGACAATCGAAAATTAAAATCTTTGTGAATGCTAAAAATTGATTTGTTGGTACGGCAATAATAATTGCGAAATGAATGTTAAAAAAAATCTTGAAGTAATTAAAATGTTATTGAAAGATTTGATTGACGTACATGCGATTATTGATAAATAACTAATCAGTAATAGCTTTAGATGCGAAAACAAATTCTAGTTATATCCAAATCATTTGCAAATACCAAAAAAAAATAAACAAAATTGTGACACAAATGCATTTATCAATTGAAAGTTGTATAATAATAATTTGTCGTAATACAAAAATAGAACTGTCGTTTAAAATCAAGCACGTGCAACAAGAAAGTTGTTACTGAAAAAGTTAAAAGCACTGTCGCAATTTGGCACATCAAAGCCTAGAAGGAGCGATTCGAATGTGCACTTCCAAGAAAGTGATCTGTTCCAGAAACAGATTGGAAATAAAAACGTAAACAATAAAAAGCATAGACTGTTTCGTAGGAGCCAGGAATCAAGACGCGCAATTGAGAAGCCGCCTATTGTTTTCTTGAAGGACTTCGATAATATTGTATGTGTTTTGAAAAGCGGAAATTTGGCGAAAGGAAAGACGACGGACGGAATAACAAATAGAAGCCGCCGATCGGAAACGTCGGCGACGTAACGGATTTTCGAAATCGGATGTTTGGGCATGTGGCACATCTCATACAGTTTATAATTCCCTTAATAAAGATCAGTGGGAGATTTTCCTGGCGCTGCACACTATAGGGGCCCATTCTCGGGGCGCAGCTCCATTGTCCATCCACCAGTTTCGACGAACTTTCTGTAAAACATCTGGGTTTTCAAGTGTATCGGAAATTGCCAGATGTATAAGAGGAGAGTAAGAAGAAGAAGAATGAAAGAAAAAAATAAATAGGAAGCAATTCCAAGGCTAATCAATTGGGGGGAGGAAAATGATCTACGCCACGAGCACCGTGATGTGTGGAAACTTATGAGAAAAGGGATCGAGATGAAAGGGAGGATGCGGTACCCAAACAAGTTTTCTACTGCATCATTGATGATGTCGGAAAGTCTTAACAATGCTCATTGTTTAGATTAATAATGGTCCGCTATGCTGGTGCTCTATCCTTATTTTATTTTTTTTTTCAGTTTCTTTTCATCTCCAAATCCCCACCCTTTGCTTTCCTATATAATGTTGTCATTTATTTACACTTTTCAGTGTTTTTGAAAAAAAAAGGAAACCGCCGGTCGAGGAAGGAATGAAGGAGGAGGCGGCATCTGCTTTCGTTCCAAACGGGGAAGGCAGTCAATAAATACCGGAATGATTTATTTTCGTTGAATTCTGAAACGCGATCCACTCTACCAGGACTCCAGTGGTTCCGTCCGCATGTGTTGAAACGAACCAGACAGACAGCAACCATTCGGAACACATAAGAATGCCTCACCATCTCCGCACTGTCACCGGATATCATATTTAACAAGCAATTCAAACATCTACCTAAACTTATCATGCAGCCCGCGCTAGAAGGCATATATATATACACACTCTTCAGATTAATATTCAACTCTCGTTCCAACACTTGCTACCTTGCATACACTCAACAAATATATTATATAAATATATATATATATAATGCGGAGAAGAGGAACAACAAAAAGAAAAGACAATAGACACGTTTATAAATATTATATATCTATTTACATGCTACCGGCATCGAGGGAAGAGAGACATTGGAATCCTTAACAACTCTTTAACAATATGCTAAACATCAGATATACGCTGGTTGCTTGTTAATCTTGCGAATAATGAAGAAGAACGTGAAGCGGGACGTAGAAGGAAGCGTTCCATTCATAACCGCGAGGATAGTAAATTCGCGTAAACTACTTCAAAAACAATTGGAAAAGAAAAAGTATGAAAAAAACAGTGAGGACTTACCTTCAGTTGTAAATTGTTTTGGTCCTAGTTGGAACACTCAGATCTCTTGGTTATTTCGCGAGCGGCAAAAACTTTCGTTGATCACACTAATTCGGATGCACTTGATTTAGATCATGATCCAAAGGGGATTTAAATAAATAAAAGAGAAAATTGAAAAAAGATGATCCGAAGGAGGAGCGCGCGCGCACTTCTGAGGAACAGATTCGAATGCGAGCGGTGGCTCGACTGAAAGACTCTTTTCGTTGTTCTGAAAGAGAACGGATGCAGACGCGAAACGTTGTTATTGGGTACTGACTGACTAGTCGTCGTCGTCGTCGCCCACTCGGCACTACTAATACAGGGACTTCGAGCCGGAGCCAAGTCTATTTCTACTCAAGATGTGTATGCTTGCTTGCTTGCTCTGTGCTTTGCTTTTCGAAAAACGATGCCTTCTTACCACTCGTTTCCTTCCGAAGCGCAGGCAACCCCTGCCCTACCCAAAAAAAAATATATTGAAAACCCTTATCCCCACGCACTCAACGTAACGCCCAACCTCCTTCCACCTTCGCAACGCCAAGGTCGTTTATCTGATTAAAGGATTGGAAACATCGCGCGCGCGGTGTACCCCAGGTGCTGCGCCTTTGTCTCATTAGATCCGCGCCTAGGATGAGAGCAATCACCACTCCAATTCATTATTTACGAAGTGACTTAATGAAACCCACGGAGGATGCAAATAACTTGGCACTCTTCCATTTTCTCCAATTTTCCTTCCAGCCGGAGGATTCGCATCTCCTTTTTTTTGTACTTTTATTTTTCACTCATCTATTTTGCACGTCTGACGTGCTTATTTTTAACCCATTTACAATAATACATGCAAAAAAACATCTTGTTAATTAAAATATTGATTTTTTTGCAAACTATATTTCGGACTATAAGACGCACCCTAAATCGAGATGATATTTTTCAAATTTATACAGACAACTTGTTTGAGGACAAATTTTACCAAATTCAGTCACCATTTTTTTGACAAGTTAATAGAAAATTATATAATTACATAAAATTCAAGATAATTCGTTTAGTAGAGTTTTACCACGTGTTTATGCAAAATATTTTTCTTATTCAATTCAATCGGATGTTTCACTAGAAAAATATATAAAGATCTATTATGCACTTACAGTATACACATGTTTCCTTGAAAATAAATATAGCAAAGTTTAATGAAATCATTGATTTCAGTAATACAAAAATCATTATTTATTTAATTTTTTGTATCAAAGCGTCTTATATTTTTAGTAAATTGTCTTAAAAATTGAATAAACGGAACAAAATCATTAAATTGAAATAAAGATCATTTTTGTCCACAAGTTTTTTTTCTTAACAAATAAAAAATAATATTTAAAATTTTACAGCTTCTATTTCGTACGTTTGCCACGGATATTTTTAGAGAATTTTCTATTGTATGAAAAAAAAAATAGTAGCGATTTAAACAGTCGACTTATTGCTTCGCGTAACGTAAAATATTGCGGTTTTTTTGTCTGCAGTCAGTTTGTTTTCATTAGCGAAAAATCTAGCGAAAACAATTTGTGGCTAGCCCCAATTTATAAAATTGCATATCAATTTATAATCTCTTTGATTATTTCTGTTCTTTTACGTTTTTATTAATTAATTATTTTAAATGTATATCTTAATTACTACTTTTGCAATTTTACTCATTCATTAAAAAATGTCATCAATTAATTAATTCAACTCTTATGTTTCAATTCAACAATTGTTGTGTTTTGTAAACACGAGAAAACGGATCGTTAAAATATTTGTGTGTATAATGTGGTTAATTATTCGATAATACTGACGGATTACCTAATCAGTATTACAACGAATCGATACCTCCACTAGGAGCGTTCTTAATCTCAACACTTATAGTAGAGTTATTTGGAATGCGGAGGAGATTAATGGAAATGGATGGATGGATTTAAGGCAAATTTAAGATTATGTTTAGAAACGTGTCCGCACGTGGGTGGTATTTTATACTCTTTGTTTTCTATGTCGATCGGTAAATTTAAGTAAAACTATTCAAAGCTGTAATTATATAATTTGAAAACTCATTTTTTGATTACTTTTGTTGAGACACATGAATCAACCGTTATTTTCACAGTTATTGTAACAAAATTAACTATAAAAAATATTGATTACATGTAAATCTAAATACCTATAATAATCATACAAAATTGTACTAAAGTAATACAAAATTATACCTAAAAGTATTAAAAATAGATTAGATTAAAGATTTAGTTATATTCAAAATTATTACAGATTTTAAATTAAATTAATTTAAAAAATAGATATTTACAATACAAAAAAAGTCAATTATTATTTTAGTATATATTTTTTAATTAATTTTCGACTGAAAAAATAATATTTATTGTCCAGAAATTGAGGAAGCTAATAGAATTATTAAATGGTAATCCTTTCATCTAATACTAACCCTTAATACCAGTAGTAAAAGAACCTTTATTTAATCCATTGATGTTTCAAAGATGCTGGTTCAGAATAAACGGAACCAAATCATTGGATGTCACGTTCAGACTGAGGGCTTCTGTCCACCTCAACAACTAAATAATACAACCGTCACAGAAAGCCAATTATCTGGGAATGCTTTTTAATAGAAGATTACCTTGTACAAGAAGAATAAACAACTTGAAAATAAATTTTAAAAAAAATATATAAATCCGTAACAAATTTATATAGTAATAGTAGGAATGTTGAAAATATCAACAATTAGTAAATAGAAATAAAGAATAAGAAAAATTTAGTCAAAAGCAATAAAATACTGTCATTCGCAGTAAAATACATAAATACATAACAAGACAATTTTTCCCGGGAAAACGTGAATTACACATTTTAAAAATTCCCGGGTCTTTCTGTTCTGTTATAGTAACCAGTTATGTTTAAATATAACATATAACTGTGAATCAATTACATACAATAATTAAAATAAACATTATATATCAATGTAGTTTAGTAAATAATTTATGACGAAAAATAATTTACTAAATGTTTGTAAAATAGATTTAAATTATGAAATTATTGAAACAAAAAATAAGCAAATTTCATAAGTGTTTGCTTAACTTCTTCATATTAATGGATTTCTATTAACTTTAAACACTACATATTCAATTAGTAAAAATGCGTAAATATGAGTCAACACTTATGATGATTATTATTATTAAACGAATTTGCATATTAAGATTTATTTAATTTTTTGTAATTTATTTAGGACTCAAACAAAAAAAAATTATACGATATAAATGAAAATCTGTCTGTGAAATGTTTCGGGATGAAACGAAACAAAAATTACCGAAATTGACTTGGGAAGGTGAAGCAATATTTGTTTAATTTAAACTTTGACCCTGCTCCCCGCGGACCACGCTTGAAAATGCTTTCACAATTCCACATTTTTCGGTATTGACAATATTTTTTAATTTAAACACAATGCCATGCAACGCGTTCCAAAAAACTAATGCGGCTTTTAATTTTGTTGGCATCGAACATGCAAAGCATTACTCTCTTAATTCCCTTTCTGTTTTTATGTTTTTAACGCGTTATTTGATAAATCTTTACATTCGTTTATTGCAGTCCATCAACATATATAAGTATATTTAAATAGTGATTTAATACTGAAAAAAATAGTACCAAAATCTGATCAATCATGCATATTTTTTAAATGTATTTTATGTGTACTTACATCTACTTTATATAATACTAACTATAATCTATTATGCATTTACAACGGGCCTCATCATAATAATATTGACCATAGTGAATATAGTGCATGTATGTTCCTACTAGGGAAATACATATCCAATATTTTTGCTCCCGGGAAAATCCCGAGAAATCGTAAAAAATCATCGAGAACAGTTTCTAAATGTATTGCCTATTAACGAATAATATTTGACAGTTGCCCTTAAGTCCTTAAAATAATAATTTCTTATATTCAAACACTACTGGTTTAAATAAATTTCTATTTTGGAGTCCATATTTACATATTACAATTTATTGATATTCATGTATTTTAATCTATAATTTTGTTAGTTATTGTTAAAATTTTGTGTATTCTGTGAATTTGTTGGCAATTTTACAAATGTTGTATTTTAGATAAATTTTGTATATTCTATGAATTTTTTGTAAATTTGTTTTCAGTTTTACAAATGTTATATCTGGAGTGCAAAGGTTGAGGATCATCTGTTTACAGTATTGGTACATCTGTTGGAATACCTTCTTATATATTGCTATTGCAGGTAGGTAGTTCGCTGCTCTTCTTTGTAGCATATTTCACATCTTGCACATTGTAGCTATACAAGTATTACTTCTACAGTTTACTTTCTAACTCTGCGTAATAGTGTAGTAACAGAGTAATTAAATTAACTATTTACTTTATTCTTACATATCTAAATAATATTCAATGGAAGATCCAATGTTGAGTCATGTATTTTGTATGTACCCGTATAACGCGGATAACACGTTACGCGTTGTATAAATCTCGTTAAAGAAAATCGTGTTATTTGAAAATATTCCTCGCATTACACGGAATTCTCGCATTTTGTTATATTGCGATTTGTACGAGAGCATTTCTTATAATTCATAATGTTCGAAAAATAGTGGTAATCGAAATCCCGACGGTAACCAAATCACGACTGTCGGGATTTCGAATGTCGGGAATTTGATTGTCAGGATTTTGGTTGTCGAGATTTCGATATAGACCCACCAAAAATATAGTAATATTTATGTAAATTAAATTATATCTATTTTTGAATTATTAATTAAATATTCTGATTAATTTAAAAAAATGCATAAAAAAAAACTATAGTTAATATACGATTTTTTATAAATATAATAAATTAAAGTTATTTTTATATAAATGTGAATTTGATTTATCTATTAAGAAAGTGTATTGAAAATAAAAATAAAACAGAGAACTTCAATCGATTATTACAGCACGATTTAGGAGACCTTAGAGATCTGAGCTTCACAATCAATTAGGTATGTGAAATCGAAAGATATTTACCTTTATGTGAAGACTCAACAGGTGGCAATAATACGAACAATACTTCGACTCCAATAAAAAAAAAACTTCACCTTTCCTACATATGCAATAGTCCTCGACAACTCTGTTTCCTCGAGCAGACTCAAAAGCGAAGCAAAATATCCGGTATAAATATTTAATCCAATTACGCCAACGTTATTCTCAATCGTTTTCGCAATTTAGTCTGAATCGATTGACGTTCCAAACAATCTGAATTTATTTAATCTTCTCCTTCGAGCAGTAAAGAGGAAAATATAAGCAATCACACATTAAAACAAACTATCAATATATTTACTCAAACCCAAGGAAATACTGAAACATCATCATGTAACATATAATCTCTTAGCATTTGCAAACCATCCAATTCG